ACTAGTAAAGTCACATGCGCGCACAGACGAGGTCTCTAGTTCAAGCTATGAAGAAGTTACTTTGAGGAGGAACACATGGCGGCACAAGATGATATATGAGGCCTCTGGCGACACGTGGAGGCAGTCAGTGGTCGTTGCCGACGATGACTTGGTGACAGGTAGAGGCACCAAGTGCCATTTTAAATTCCCCCCCCCCAAAACTCAGGTTATTCTGTTGCTAATTTGTGACAGAAATTTTTGTTAGTAATTCTTTCAGTTACTACTGTGAAAAGTAAAATATACTTTCATATAATTACAAAAATATCATCACCATTTTTTTACAACGTTTTGCCTAATAACTGTTGTAAGTTAGTACCGTGAAAGATATTTTTTGTTAATAGTACTTGTACCTTTTTTAATGCTTTATTTTCAACTCTGTCTGTAATATCCTAAATTAATTTTTAGGATTTATAGAAAAAATTCGAAAAAAAGAAAATAATAATATTTTATTATTTATTATAATAATATTTTATTATTTAAAAAAAACAAAAGGGTCAGCTTTCCACCACATTTCGGTGAAAAGTTGGCAGTGGGGTGGAAAACGAAGGTAGCATTGAAAGAAGAAGGAAGACTCTAGGGGAGAGGAGTCAATGCGTGAATGAAAAAAAAATAGAGGAGTAGGTGAATGTAAGAAATAAAAAAGAGGGTGGACATAGAAGATGAGGCGTATGCGGAAAGAGAAAGAATTAGAGAAAGAGAGAATGAGAGAGGAGCAGAGAAGTTCTGACATTTTGAAAAGTAATATAAGTTTTGGAGATAATTTATGTACATGAAGTTACTTCTTTTTATCATACTTTATTTATGAATATTTCATATATATTTTAAGCTTTCTATTAACAGTATTAATTAGAGAAAATTTTGAGACTTATACGAGAGATAGGTTTCGAGTTTTGGTAATAGATGACTACAGAAATTTAGAGATAAATGAGTTATTAATTTTAATTGGTTTAGATTTGTCAATTTGTTGGTTTTTAACACTTAAATTAATTTTTTTTAGTTGAAAAATCTGTTATATATGATTTATGTTATATTTGCACCAATTAAAATTAAGTTAAATAATTTATTTGAGGTGTTTAATATATTATTGAGATTTTAATTAATTTAGTTTTATTTATTGGGTGATTGGAGGTTTTAAAATAATTATTTTAACTAAAAATTTTATTATTTATGAAAAAATATATATGGTAGTTATACCATTAAAGTTTTGATTAGATTCTTTATTTAAATATTTGAAGTATTATTAAATTTTTGATGGTTTGATTTTGAGGTTTAAACTTAACATAAGATTTTTAGAATTTATAACATAATAATTTTATGTTTGAAAATTTTGGAAAATCTTTTTTATTAAGGTAAATAATTCGGAGGTTGTAATTAATAATTTGGCTTTTAGGAAATTTTAAGTTATTTCTAAAATACTTAATTTTGGGATTATGAGAGTTACAGGAATTTAGAATACAAAAATTAAATTAAATTAGAAATCTAAATAATATATAAGCTTAATTAATTAACTAATTAGCTTATATTAATATGTTGCTATTAATTGTGTAGATTAATTATTAGTTGAGTAAAGAATTGATCTTGTGGTAATCCTTTTTATTGCTTTGGCGAGAGGTAATCACTTTTCACTTGTTATATGTGCTAATATGTTATTTGTGAGTATTTTGCTATTTTAGAATCATATTTGTTATTTGAAACTCAAGTAGATGTGTTATGTCTTTTGAGCTATGAAAATTGTCTTGTGAGATTTTTGGAATTGTGATTGAGAAGTTTGAAAAAGATATATGATTTATATCTTATGGATTATACTGAAAAAAGATTGAGATATTTTTTGTTATATTATGAATGATTGGTTGTTATTTAGACTTTGGAATAAGTCCTAGCCTGCCACGTGGTAAGGCCACCATTGGTGCATATTGGTTGGCTTCTTTCTTCGTTCCCAAAGTAAGGGATAGACCTTTGTGACTTTTTATTTGTCCCGCAAAGTGTGATATAGGCTTATAATAAGAGATAGACCTTTGTGACTACTTATTCGTCTCCCAAAGAGTAGGATAGGCCTATATGTCAGATTAATCCCCTACAATTAGGGATAGACTTATATGACTTGTTTGTTAGCCCCCATAATGAGAGTTTGGATGCTTGAGATTATTTGAATATATATATATTTTATATTTCTATTGATATATATACATTGAGATTTAATAACTATCTCACTTGACACATCACTAGCATGTATTAGTATATATGATGAGTTAGAAAGTTGGTTACTGAGGCGTTTGTCTCACCCCGTAATTTTTACTATCTTCAGGTGATAGTTCAGGTGGTGGCCCATCAGGAAAAGTCCCGGAAGCATAGTGTGCTGGTATAGCTTGTATAGCCTCATGAGTTTTGTTCTACATGGTGATTTGTTATATATTGCCACAAGGGCTCATCTACTCTATTGTTGTAATAAAATAATGCTTTTAATTACTACTTTCTGGTATGATAGGGCCACTAGAAGGCCAGAGACATCTCAGACTCTACACGCGACAGTCTTTTGAAACTATTGACTTTTGACTAATGAGCTTCATAGCTTATATTAAAAATAATTTATCAGTTCGTATGTTGGAAAGTTTAAGTTTGATTTGGGCTAATGGTTGACTGATATTTTTGGATTTTGGAAATCTAAGATCCAGGTTAACGATCGATGTTGCTCGTATTATAAGTTTATTTCTTTTAACCATAATAGCGATTTTAAAATTTTAAGGTTTTTTCTTTTCTATCATGGTTAATCTTTTGAATAAAATATTAGATTTAATCTAAAAAGTGTTTTGAAAGAATGGCTGTCACACTGTTCCTATTAATTATAATAAAGGTGAAGAGAAAGGGAATGAGTAAGAGAACATATCCTTATATATAATGCTCTCCTTAATAAGGGTAGAAGTGAAAATTTCATTATTTAATGCTTTTCTTAGTATGTGAGAACCCTTACAAATGATAAATAATAAGGACCAGAGTGGTATTATGAAGCTAAAATAGGGCTGGTAATACGGGCCAACCCACGGGTTGCGGGTTGGCCCGTGGCAGGTTGAGCCTGTGGCGGGTCGGGCTGAAAAAGCTCGTTTGAAGGCGGGTTGGCTTTTAGCCAACCCTAACCCGCCAAGGTGGGTTGGTGGGTTGGCCCGCCAACCCGCCAACATTTATTATTTTTTTTGAAATATTTTTTTTACTTTTTTTTTCTTATATAATATTTAAAAATAATAATAAAATTTTTGTTTTTTCTTGAAATATTTGATTAAAAGCACCAAATAAATTATATAGGTTTTTTTTATATATTTTTTTAGATAGGATATACTATATAATAATATAATTATAATAATTAAAAAATTTTAAAAAAATAAAAAAAATAAATGCGGGTTAGCCGCGGGTTGGCGGGCTAACCCGTGGCAGGTTGCGGGCCTGGCGGTGCTGGTTAAAAAGACTCGTTTACTGGCGGGTTGGCTTTTAGCCAACCTTAACCCGCCATTTTTGGCGGGTTGGCAGGTTGAACCCGCGGGTTCAACCCATATTACCAGCTCTAAGCTGAAATTACAAATCAGCTGATTAAACACCACACTTTGCAATGAGGTTCTGGTTGATCCATAGGAGAGACTTGGGAAAATTACTTGCGTAGTGTTAGCGCAAAACCCTCCCCATATTTGTTTCATTGGCCTCTAATATAAAACTTAATTAATTTGAATAAATTAAGAAAATTAATTAAAATAGTTATTTATAAAAAATGTATACCGGTTTCCTTAAAATACTCTATTAAATCATCTGTATTGAAACTACTCTTAAAACAAACTCTTTAACACGTGTAATTAGTAAAAATAGTTTGAAAAAACAATAATATATGAGGGGGGACAGAGTGAATATAAATCTTATATTTAAGATCTAATCTAACCCCAAACTAGCTTTTACATTAAATAATAGAGGCAGCATTAATTTTTTGCATTCTTCATTCTCAAAGTAACTAATAACATGTGCGCTTCATTTGATTAATTAATCATAATGCTAAAGCTGAATTAGTTTAAAAATTATGTATCCCCCAAAAAGCAAACTTTCCCCATATCCAGGCACTTTCCTTTCCCAAATCTTTCCCATATCCTTCCGTCATCAGTTGGCACACTTTGCTGGGTCTTGAGAGTTAAACTCGTCATTTGATCTCATGAAAGTTAGTTAACATGATTATCCACCCAAAAGTATGGAGATTCTTATCAAGTTTGGTTCGATTCATCTGCTATGCCTTACCACCTGTTTGGGCACTAGCTAGACTTTATTGGAGATCGTTTTCTACTCTATTCCCAGCGCATTCTCCGCCTAAGTAATGACACACGTTACCAATCAGTTAGCGGCCAGTTTGTGTGATTAGTTCGTTGAAAAACTTAAACAGCAAAGAAAACCACACATAGGAAGAAATACGTTAATCCTGCTATGAACACTACAATTTTTGTTTTCCGGTAAAGAATGAGGCTTAGAGCCCTAAAAGAACAAAGAAACAGCGGTATTGTATTAAAAAAAAAAAAAACTACCCCTCCCAAACGAAACTCCCACCCAATTCGCCAAAAACAAAGTCCAGCCCACCTACACCCCTATCCCAAACAATGTACACCCTCGTCCAGCCCAAAGCTCAGTTCGCTAGGGCATATGCACGCTTGTTCCCTTCTCTCAGCATATGTGCCACTTCAATCTACCAATCTCGATCACACCAGCTCCAGATTATTTATAGAACCCGACATTGAGCTTCCCCACTTCCATCTCCTTTCTTCAACACCGTCGTAACCACCACCACAGAATCCACTTTCAAGTTCCAACACAACATTCCTCCATCCAGATCCCAACACAAACACAAGCGCTCCAATACTCCTCATTGTTCTACCACCATAGCCGAGCACATCCCAAGATTGTTAGCAAACCCCAGCAACCATCTCCCTTATGATCTCGCATCAAACCTCGACAACCTCCCAGATTCGACCCTCCCCATAAGCAACATTTGTGTTCAGTTTAATCCCACCTACTACGGGAGGATAATTCCACCTGAAGCAACCCTGCAGCTCCCTCGTCTGCATCTCATTGCCAAGACCTTCACTTACCCTCACAACCGAATTGGAGAAACACATGGCAGCTCTGCGTATGTCATCCACAGAGGACCCTCCCACCCCAGGTGAGAACAATTTTTGATTTCTTACTTTCCAAAGACTCCAGCGAGCAACACCAAAAACCACACACCATAGAATACCTCTCTGTTTTCTTCCATGACTCTTCAGATTCAACCATAGCCACGCATCAAGATCAGGAATATAAAAGAAACTTCTTTTATCACTCGGGACTAACTTCCTCCACACCTCCTTTGCATAATCACGCATAGCATGCAAAGATGTTTCCGTACCACCACGCACCGCACGCCCCGCAACGGCCCGATCCCCCATCTGATTTGTCTAAGCATACTGGTATGGATCCTATCATGCATCAATAACCACAAGAAAGCAGGGATCCTTTCAGGTCCAGGCCACTTCGATGCCAAATTCCACTTCTCTTCTTTCTCTCCCAATACCTCCCTCATTAATAATTCATAACCACTTCTTACCGAGTAATCACCATTCAATCCTCTCTTCCACTGAATTATGTCACTCCCATCCTCATCGTCAGGAGGCAAAATTGATCTTAATGGTACTCTTTCAGAGCTTTTGAACAGCACAGCTCATTTTGAATATACCTTTAGTATATAATCGCCTAGGTAATAACACGCTTTACTAATTAATTAGCGCCAGTTTGTGCGTGATTAGTTCGATGAAAGGTAAACATCAAATAAAGCTACATAAATAGGAAGAAAGGAAAAAGACATACTCTATAAAATACACACACAGACACACTACTGTAAGATCTCAGAAAATCAATTCTGTAGATTTTTTGAAAGTTTTACACAACTCACCTCAGACTATTCATTTAGGATTGATTTTATAGAATTTATTGCCAAGAATTAACACTCTTTCAGAGCTTTTGCTCTGCACAGCTCGTCCCAAACTAAGGTGAGTACAGAAAAAGAATCATCATATAGTTTTGCTCATGCAAATATTTAATTGGATAGCTAAGTACGGAAAGCTCTCAGACTATCAGACAATACAAGTCATTTTTATTTCGATTCAAATTAAATAAGCTCTAGTATATTTGGCTAAGTCAGCCTCCATCGTCCTTTTTTCTTTTATTAATTGATCTCAATGTCTAATTTTTCATGTGGTCAATTAGCCGTTGTTTAGGAACTTCATGCATGATTTGCTTGAGATTCTCTGCAGTAAGACAGGTTTTTCTCAAAATAAGCTTTGATTCTTATTTTCACAAGTCAAATTATATATTATTGGAAATTAATTATGAAATATTTTCACATAATGATTTTTCCTCCTTTCCTCTCATAAATTATTAATAAATTATAGTGTTCTAATTATTAGAACAGTCAGACTTATATAACACTAATATAATAATGGTATATTAGGTCAACAAATATATGTTTTAAATAGAAGTCGGCCTCATCATAATATCTCAAAAATCCAATATATCTCAAAACAGTGGAATCACAAGTATATTTATAATACTCAATCCAGCATCTGAAATACATTCAAATACCACTGTAAACAAATTGATCGACAGGAACAGCGGAAATAACAAACAGAGGAAAGGGAAGGAGACGACAGCCACAGAGGTATTCCCAAGATTCACCCACGCCCCTCCCAATAACTCCCTCTCCTCATATAGAGTATTTCTTTCATATGGTAGAGATTCGATTCGGTCAGTGCTAACGGCATCACGCCAAGACACCATATTTCTTAAATGATCACAAGCCACGAGTCTTTCTTGGGTCCCACCATATTTGCCAGGTTTATCACATTACTCAAGGTCACAACGAGGATAAATGCAGTTAAAGAGTGTGATCCGCATACAGCAAGGTGCGTTAATGCCCTGCAATCCACGAGGCGTGACAGTTGAACCGGTGAAACCCCATTGAAATGCATACATTAAGAGCCATAGATTCTCCCCACTAGTAAGCTTGTATATGGTCGGAAGTTCACAAAAGACAAGGACTAATATAGATTGTAATCTAATTTTCATGCTCCATGAAGGCCTGACAGATGGGAACATGACCAGAAAAGATGACCCACTATCTTTGGAGTAAATCCAAATCAACCTCATTAAAAATAGGTAGCTAGCCTACTAAAAGAAGGCCGTGTGGCAGACTTTGCTCTTTGAAAAAGATTAGTACATTCATAGCAAGCACAAAAATGTTGAAATAAGCCCAGGCTAGGACCCTAAATATATCAACCAGACCAATGTTGGCTATTAATACCCACAAACCGTGATTATAAGATGCCATGCTAGAAATAGGACGACACACTTGTATAACTGCAAAAATCGAACGCTTAACCCAGCGAAGTGTTACATATTTCATCGTGCCACTTCTAGGATTTGTAATAATTAATTCAGCCCAAAATTCGCCATCCAATTCATCAGTCATGTTATCAAATATTTCTGGCTCCCATTTAAGACGCAAAACAATTTTAACGCAAACACCACCCAAGGCAGATGCAAAACCATTAAACAATGGCATCGAAGCTCCCATAACATTGCCCGTTGTCCTCATATCAGCCAATTTTTCGAACCGTATAGAGATTCCATTGCCGAACCAGGATCAAATACCCACTGAACCAGCACTGAACCAATTAATCCCCAGATGAATGAATATACTAGGATGATATTTGAGCTAGTTAAAAACCTCAGTTGAATCAGATATCCACTAATATGAGTTTCATTCAATAAAATACCTTCCGAGCAAGTAGATAAAACCTTAAATACTTGTAGACTACTTTTCAGCACTACTACAAAAAAAAAAGTCTATTTTTTCCACTCATTTTTGTTTTTTTTAAAAATTAGGGAAAAACAGTCCTAATATTTGTCTGTTTTGCTACAAAGACAAGTATGAAGCACTCATACTCGTCTATTGGGCCCAACAGATGAATTTGAACTCATCGTTCTCATAAAAAATTTTACTAGCAGGATGAATGATTATTCTTTATGTATATTATGTTTGTTAGTTAAACTTTTTTGTTAATTATTTATAATTAAACCATATATCATTTACACTGTAATTATTTACTGAACTTAGTGCTTATTTAATTGTTCATGTATATCTTCCATTTAATTATTAATTTTAATTATATATTATCACATAACTAACCTAGAGCCAAAACGGTGATTCCCCTCTTCATTCTCATACATAAATAGTAATAATGAGTTAGTAAATGTCACTTAAAACCAAAAAAAAAAAACTCACTCAATATTTTATAAAACTAATACAAGCCTATTCCAAAGTGGCCTAATTTTATTTGTATGAAAAATGCTTTGCAAATTATAGAAGTGGTAGAAGTATTTTCCTGGGTCAAGCTGTAAATTTATTTCGGAAGTTTTTACTTAGGAGTACCGGGTACTTGAAAATTTATTCATTTATTTTTCGTTTCAATATCGTCCCAAAGGTTTAAAATTGTAGCATTACCTTTAAAAAAACTAATGTTGATGGTTAAAATAGTGACATTGACTGTCAAATTTTAATGTGGTGGGGAATAATATTGTTATAATTTTAAATCTTTGGAGCAATATTAAAACCAAAAAAAAAAAAATTCCGAATACTCATAGCTTCTAAGTGAAAACTCTCTGAGCAAATTTACATATCAACCCTATTTTCCTTTTAACACGTTTTTTTGGCGTTTTTTTTATTTAAAAAAAAAAAAGAAACCAAAGGCAGCACCGCCACCCGGTTCCTACAAGTTGTTGAAATGTCATCCTCCAAAGTCAACATAACAATCAGGCTCCTGGAAGTAGAAGACCGGAGCTTGTGTCACCATTGTAAGTGCGCGAAGTAGTTTCCTGACAAATTGAGTGTTTTATTTGCGTTCTTTACAGTCCCATGATTACATTTATTGGTCTGGTCTTTCCAAGCTTAGCTTATTCTTCTATCATCAATTCATCGCAGCTAGCGTCTCCCCAAAATCTCAGAAGATTAATTTGACCTATATATTTTCAGAGCATAACAGCATAAGAGACAAATATTAAGGATAACATTGTATTCTGTATTTGCTTGATTGTGTACAGTAATTCACCATTTCTTATATAGGCAAAAGCTTGAGAGACAGAAAAGGAAAACGTGCTACAATGGAATGATCTAGAATATAGGGCTAGCTGTACTGAGTATTGAATTGGGCTTTGGTTTATTTGTCGGGCTTATTGGGCTAGTTTAGTATTGTGGCTAACACACCCCCTCGAGTCCAATGGGGAAGAATGAACGTTGAGACTCAAACGTAGTCTTTGAAAACGGTCTGCAACTAAAGGCTTGGTCAGAATATCTGCTAGTTGATCACGAGAGGAGATAATGGCTATGCGAAGAGTTTTGGCAGCAATGCGTTCACGAACAAAGTGATAATCAAGAGCAATGTGTTTTGCTCGAGAATGAAACACTGGATTGACAGCCAAATAAGCAGCTCCTAAGTTATCACAGTACAAAATTGGTGCCTCTGGTAAATGAATGTTAAGCTCCCCTAGTAAATTTTGAACCCAAATTAGTTCACTTGTAGCATTGGCAAGAGCTTGGTATTCAGCCTCAGTGCTAGACCGAGAAACAGTGGGTTGCTTTTTAGAACTCCATGAGATAATATTGGAACCAAGAAAGACCACATAACCATTGGTGGACCTAGAGTCATGTTGAGAACCCCCCAATCGGAGTCAGAATAAGCTTCCAACGATGTAGCAGTGGAGCATAATGTTAATTGAGGTGATTTACAGACAAATAAACCAAAATTAGATGTGCCATAGAGATACCGAAGAATCCGTTTGACAGCAGACCAGTGAGATTCAGTAGGATTTTGCATAAATTGGCAGACTTTGTTTACAGCAAAGGACAGGTCTGGGCTAGTGAAGGAGAGGTATTGAAGGCTACCTACAATGCTTTTGTAGAAGTTGGGGTCTTTGAAGGGTTGTCCTGTGCCCGTGAGTTTAGAGTTAATAGCCATTGGAGTGGGCATTGGTTGGGCATGAAGCATGTTTGTCCGGGTTAAGAGATCCAAAATGTATTTTCATTGAGTGAGTAAAATACCATCAGGACGGTGTTCAACCTCAATTCCAAGGAAATAGTGCGGGGGTCTTAAATCTTTAATGGGAAATGAGGAACCTAGACATTGCAAGAGCTCAGAGATAGCAGCAGTAGACGATCCAGTTACTATAATGTCATCTACATAGACTAGGAGATAAATTTGACAAACCGAAGTGTTGTAGATGAACAGAGATGAATCAGATCGTGATGCTACAAAACCAAGATCAAGTAAACAGGAACGTAACCTCGAAAACCAAGCTCTGGGTGCCTGTTTGAGGCCATAGAGGGATCGATGGA